TGCATATAATTATTATTGACTGTATTTTCAGGTGTACACGGGTGTGTGGCTACGTCCCTACATGCCACTGAGAGAGCGAATAATAACAGAAGAAAAGGATAAATTGGGCCAAGTTTCCGTCTCGAATGCAACAAAGAGGCGTTTAGCTGGATCTGGGGCCTAGACTTTGTCTCTTGCAACTGCTTGCATCAGATTCTTCTCGTTTATGAAGAAATAATAATCGATTTTATCGATGTGGTGCATTTTCACGTCCGATATTTATAAACATTTGCAGACAACAATAAAATGTAAGTTGTATTGATGCTAATAATAATGGTCACCATTACAGCCCCTCATTCCATTATCATTCTATTGTCGAGCAGTTTATACATCTGATCATGATGGTGCACGCAGCTTTATCATCTCACTGCAACTCTTGATCATGATAGTACACGCACAAAATAGAGGAATTTGTACTGCATCTAAGCCCAAATTTGTTGGTTTTGGGAGAGTTGATTGGTATTGCTCCAAATATTTGTTACTAAGAAAGCGAACACGGAGGCTGAAATTTAAACAAGGGTTGTCTTTCTTTGTTTGCTTATCCTACTAGATTTAGATTTATTTGCGATTTTGTAGCTACTATAAATTTAATTGCATATGTACCTAAAACTAATTTAATTCCTTAATTCGCGCGTTAATTCACGCAGCTGTCAGGTGGTATATATTGAGTTTATGTTAGTATATATTCAGTATATGTGCGCAACTGGAATTCCTTAATTCGCGCAGTTGTCAAGTGGTATATATTGCGTTTATGTTAGTATATATTCAGTATACATTGCAATCAGTTTATGCTAGATATAAATTGATTTTATACATAAAAATTATGTCTCGCGATAAATTTTTTTATCATATACCGAAAATATACTGAATTTTTTATCATATACCGAAAATATACCGAATATAAACCATACATATACGAAAAAAAAATCAATTTATGCTTTATCAAAATCGTTTTCTAATACATGAAATATACTGAACAGTGTACAAAAAAATCTTTTAATATATTGAACATATGCTGCTGTGATCATACAATTTACATATATCATAGATATACTGCACATATACTATAATCCAAAGTCTAATATAATCTGAACACAGTCCAATATCCCTAAAAAATCGAAACAAAATTCAATTTTCCTGAATCAATGGCTCGCCCAGGATTTTGCTGGTGACGGCTCGACCCCAAACCCTTGCGAAAACGCCGTCGGAGACCATTACCTTCTGAAAGTTCCTCAAGAACAAGATCGATTACCGCAGGATCCACGGGATTGAAAATCGTGTACAACATGGCTAATCTAGATAAAGAAATGGTCGGATATTGGGCAAAACTCCCTCAGATTCTCTATTGAATTTATGGAATTCGTATAGGTTTGCTTGCAATTCACATACAATCAATAAATGCTTCTGCATGTATAGGTGACGGCCAATAAGTATACAGTTTTTGTGGGTTCTATTGGAAATAGCAAAGGCCAATTCAGAAAGCAAAGATGGTAGGTGCTCACGAGAAACATGATTAGACAATTTTGGGTGAGTTGATAACAAAAAAAACTCAAAAGCAACATTCCTGATTATGTTGGAATATAACAAAAACGCAAATTTTGGGTGAGTTGCCGCCACCTTGTGCGAGGATGGTGAAATGGGGAGGGCCGTGGAGAGAGGTAGCGGCCGTGGAGGATGTTGCAGAAGAAAACGGAGAAGGAAAAGAAAAGAAAAAGGTATTAATTATCTCAATTAATCAATAATTGATTCAATTCCATATTTAAATCATAATTAATAACTTATAAAATTTGGTATATGTGTAAATATGTTGGGGTAATTTTGTATCTTTGTAAATAAATATTAATTGAATGTAAATATGTAATATAAAATTTATATGATAGTATGTGGTGTAAATTCCTCTATCTTAAAATGTACGTTGCCCAATTTATTCATTAATGGACCATGGAAATGACAAAGGAGTGTGTCCTGATTTTTCTCCAACATGATAATCAATCATTTCATTTATGAACAAGTATAATTGAAAAAAGTAGATTATGCTTGCTTCTATCAAATTGAACTCATGAAAAGAATTGGAACAAAATTTATAATCTTGAAGAACTCTATTTAAGCTAGAAAAATGGCTAAGAAAGTCTCGTATTCAAGCAACCATTGTGAAAATGTCAACAAACTTTGTTCACATTGAAAAGTAAACAAAAACAACAGAAAAGAAAACTCAGGTCGACATCTAGACTTCACATAAATTTACCAAATTCATTTCTCTATTTACCCTTACAGAGTTCATTGAAGTTGTGCCCAGCCATCTCAGCCTCACGGCAGATTTCCTTGCACTTTGCCAACCTCCCAGAAGCCATATAAATTCCGATCATGCACCTGTAAATATCGTACGTCGGCGCAAAACCCGATTCCTTAAGCTTCGAAAAATATCTCGCGCTTCTCGAGAGATCACCCAAAGCAACAAAAAGCTTTATGAGCACCCAATAAGCCGGGAGATCGAGCAAACAATCCGAACCCTCCATTTCCCACACGACAGCCATAGCCTCCTTATATTTACTATCCAAATACCGGCAGTTCACAATAGTGGTGTACATCACAACACTCGGAACATTGCCCGATTTTTTAAACCAACCATACAATTCCTCCACAACATCAAACTTCCTAAAACTGGCACACACTTTCATAATGCCCGTGCAGTCCTGCTGAGTCAGCTCAAACTCATCTCTTCTCCCGAGCTCTTCCAGCAGAGGCAAAACGAGCATTCTCTTATCCGGGTTTTTCCCAATCTCCATAATCAATTTGGCATACAAGCTAGGATCCAAAATCCTTTTCCCTTTTGCAGCGGCTAAGAGCAGACTCAATGCATTTTTCCACTTCCCTCCCTCCACGAAACCCTTCACCATTGCTTCATAAACGCTCTTGCTCGCCAGGCCCACGAAATTTTCGTCCAAGTTGATGGGCATTTTCAGTTCGTGGGCCCGGGCCAAGACCCGGACAGTTGAAGTCAAGGCCCGATCATCTGGGAACAAATGCGGCTGCCTCTGGACCTAGGTGAAGACTTGGAGGGCCCGTTTGGGAAGGCCCATGTGGCCCAGCTCACGTATAGTGAGTGAAAGTGACCCTTTTCTTAGAAATTGGGCCCATTGGTTAAGAACCTTGGACACGTCATCATCGGGAGGTAGGCTTCTAATGTCCCTGGCTAAGCCAATCAAGAAATTCGGCTTCTTGTAGACTTGGTTGGACACGAGCTGCCTGTTAGGACGAGAAAGTCGAGTAGTGAGTATTCGTTTAGATGTGGGGAATCCCAAAGGCCGAGTCTTGTGAGGGAGGGAGAGCGGGAGAGGCCTTTCCCTATTTGGCTTCTGAGGGACCCGACCTTGGAAAATGGAGGAAATGGCTTCAATTTCATCTGGGTCCCACTCAGAATCATCAGAATTGGCAAGAAAAGAATCGTTGTTTTCATCATAATCGCGTTCTGTGGAAGGTTTTCCGAGACTGGGACGGAAGTCGGGAGGAGATTCTGTTCGTCTACGGTTCTTGGGGAGCTGTAGCAATTTATGGTTGCGGTTTTTGCTGCTGTTAGGGCGTGATGCGGATACTATTGAATGGGACAGTCTAGAGAGAGTATGGGAATTAGAAACTGGGCATGAAAAGAGAGGGAAGGTTAAAGTGGCCATTAACTAGAAAACCCGAGTGAAATCAATCTTGCGTATTGTAACAGGCATTTCATCGAACAGTTGGTGGGTGGTTCGGAGTCACGGTCGCCGCTCCTCTTGGGGTTGCTTGGATGAGATATCTCTAAAAATGTGTGGATAATTGGTGTGGAAAGACGAATAAGATTTGCGATTGATGTGTGAACCCCCTCTGCTTATGGCTTCTGGGCGCCTATCAGTTCTCTCCAGTGGGGGAAGAGGGATATTTCCTGCCAACGGTAATTGAATACAGAGGTGTCAATTGGATCTTATTTATTTACTTAAGATTTGTTTTATCAAATTAAATCATAGAAATATTAATCATTTAATTTCATTTTTTTATATACAATATATTTAATATAATTTAAGCTAAATTAAAGTTTTATTTAGTTAGTCACGATTTATGTCACTCAATGTGTGAATCAAACAATAAATTTTCAAAAAAGAAAAAAAAAAAACTATTTATTTTATTTTTTACAATTCCACTATATAATTACAAAATTAAAAACAATAATTATTATCTAAAAAAAAAATTCATTATATATGTTATAAAAAGTAATATTCATCCACTTATATTTGTAACTATCAATTATTATTTTATTATTTTTATCACTTTTATCTTATATTCATTTATATTTTCTAAAATTATAAATATTATATTTTTTATCGTAATTTTGGACGATTCATTTTTAAAAATAAATTATCCAATCATTGATAGGAATGGTTGAACTTTTTGGGTGTCGACATCTAATTGTTTTCTCTCTCCTCGCGCAGCCAAAAATTCCCAAATCAGAGGGGCGAAAACCTAGTCGTCTTTGTTTGTCCCATTTTTGTTACGTTTTTTGTGTCTTTTTGTCTTTCTTTTTCTCATTTTAGGTCGTTTAGATGAGTTTTAGTTCATTTTATAGTTTATTTAGTGTTTTCTCTCTTCTTGTTTTTTCTTGTGTTTTTCGTTCGTTTTTCGTTTTTTTTCGTCGTCGTTGGTGCGTAGGTAGGAAGTCTCGGGAGAACAGGAGTTCAGAAAAATACTAGTTGGGCAAGCTTAATCAAATAGAGGAGTTCGTTGGGAACACACAGGAAAAAGCGGAATCGAATTCCGAGTTGAAACGAGCTCAAACAGACCCGAGAAGCAAATTTGTGCGAGCTGCCCACTTGCCCAGGCCCCGCGCCGCGCCAGGCCCCGCGCCGCGCCACTCGTGCCTCACCGCGCCGCGCCAGTTAGGGCCAAATTTTCGCAAATTTTAACTCTTTCGAAAACGCTTATAAATTTTTCGAAATCATTTGCAAACTATCTCGGGATGCTGCTAAGGACTTTTCTGCTTAAAAACCCGTTTCTTTAACCTAGGTCTAACGACTGGTTTAGACTTAAAGAAATCAGGTTCATATTTTTAACGAAACATGCATATTAGTCTGGACCCGTTCGTACTGGCGAACCGGGTAAAATTATTTAAGTCTGAAAATAACGTCATGCATGTTCGAAAATAAACACAACCATAGCGGAAGTCTAAATGTGCGCGGAATTATTTAGTTATACGAAACGGTAACAAATGTCCCGGGAACAGCTTTCGTGCGGAACTCACGACCACCACCACCACAGCTCGACTCACGTCTGCCCGCCGACCCTGTCATCTGAAAATATAAAGTGGGGGTTAGTACGGTCCACTTGTACTCCATAAAAACTCATTCTAAAGTAAACAACAATAATAATAATGATATCACAGAGCTGGTATATATATGTAACTTCCGGAACTCTCTGGCCGGTAACTCCCGGAACACTCTGGCCGGTAACCGTGTGCACACTCTGATGGTATAACAAGGGCAAACTGGGCCACCATCAGAACTTAGGGAAGGCAAACTTGGCCTTAACCCAAAGTGGATAAAACTCATATACATACCTGAACGTGATATCGACTATTATACTCAATGTATAACCCAGACTGGGTCCCCACCTGATCGGTTTTGAAAATGGGTATTTTCTATTTTCTCCAAATCTTCTCCCCCCCCCGAATTTAGAATTATGTGATCGTAAATTTAGTTTTGACTGAAATACATTTTCAACTGTATCATTTTCAAGCTTATTCAATCTTTTCTCACATTCTTAAAGGTAGCCTATTAATTCTGTCACTAATAAATGATCCAAATCTTTGGTTTCTTCAGTTGTAATGAAGAAAGGATCGTATTTTTCCTAGGAGAGTAATCAAAATTTTTTCTACCATCCTTTTGCCAGTGATATTTTCTCCATATGCTTTGAATTGATTTACTACTTCTCTTAATCGAGTGTAGTAATCTTTTACTGTAACGCCCCATTATTTTTATAAGAAAAATTCCGAGTTTTCAAAAAATCAGAGTTATATTTTCAAATTCATTTTTCTTTTCGAAAACATTTTAACGGGCGCTACTCAATTAAATCATTCAATCATCATATAGCTCAAGCCGTACTTGAGCCTAGGGGAACTCTCTTCCTAATTTCCATCATATACACACGAGATAAATATCATATACATTTCCTTGCAGTCATACCTAATCATAACTTCATTTTCATATCCTCATAGTCATGCATAATCATAACATCATCATGTTCAATCTCTATGTCCAGTTCACCAGATAACATAGGTTCAACGGAAGCAGTTTATCATATCATAATTCAGTACCCAATAAGATGAAGTAGTTTCATAATTCATTTTTGTCTTCCAAAATAATGTATCAGCTAACATCAATAACTACAATAATAGTCATAACATGGAAGTATAAACAATACATAACAACTCCTCAAGAGATTCAAACCCACATATCAGAATTTTATGCCACTCTATTCTCTTCAGAAGGCTCTTGGGGAGGTGACTCAATGCTTCATGTAATCCGGCCATCAATTTCTTCAGATATGAATCAAGCACTCCTCAAACAAGTTGATGAAGAGGAGATCAGAACAATACTTTTTAGCCTAAGTCCAGACAATCTCCGGGTGAAGACGGTATGACAGCTCCTTTCTATCAACACTTTTGGGAATTAATTAAAAATGATTTGATTGCTGTTGTGACTAGTTTTTTTTCATGAGAATGGCTCTTTGCCCAAATATTGGAACCACACAGTTCTTACCTTCATACCTAAATGCCCAAACCCAGAATCACTCTCTCACTTCAAGCCAATTAGCCTATGCACAGTGGTTTATACAATCCTCTCTAAAATATTGGCCCTGAGACTTCAAAATTGTTTAGATACATGCATTAATCCATCACAATCTGCTTTCCTGAAAGGCAGACCAATTTTTGATAATGTGATCATAGGACAAGAAGCTTTTCATTTCCTCAACAGACACTCATCAAGTAAAAACCATTTTATGGCATTAAAGCTTGACCTGATGAAAGCATTTGATCGAGTTAAGTGGCTTTGTATAAATAAAATCATGTTGCAAATGGGGTTTCAACAGTAATTTGCGCATTTAATTATGATCTGCATATCTTCTAGTACTTGTTCTTTCAAGGTGAATGGCACAGTCAGTGGTTATGTGACTCCCTCGAGAGGTATCAAACAAGGGAATCCACTATCACCATATTTATTCATAATTGTGGCTGAAATGCTCTCTCCCTTGGTTACTAATGTTGTTGATTCAGGGGACTTGATTGGTCTGAAGCTATCCAGGAATGGCCCAACTATATCTCATCTGCTTTTTGCAGATGAGTCTCTATTCTTTTGCAAGGCCAGTAATGATCAAACTATTACTCTTCTCAGTCTCTGGAAAGATACAGAATTTTCACTGGTCAAAGAGTCAACTTGCAGAAATAAGCAGTATTCTTTAGCAGGAACACACCCACCTATCTTCAGGAGAGAATTTGTCTCACTTTGCAAGGAATCACTCCACAAAAATCTACCAGATACCTGGGACTCCCTCTTGGGATTGGCAAATCCAAAATAGAAGCTTTTCAGTTTGTTCTGGACTCAGTGTAATCAAAGCTTCAAAGCTGAAAATCAAGACTTCTCACACAAGTTGACAAAGAAGTCCTTCTCAAGGCAGTGATCCAAGCATTATGTGCTGAAATATCTTAACTTTGCTCACACTTTTGGTTGAGTAAAAGGGAGGACCATACTAGAGGTATCCACTGGAAGACTTGGAGTTTGCTCACTCTACCTAAAGAAGAATGTGGCTTAGTCTTCATTGATATTAAAAATTTCAATATTGCTCTCATATGCAAACAACTTTGGAGGATCACAACTCAGCCACATCTATAAGTGAGCACAATTTTGAAAGACAGGTATTGCCCAGACTGCTCTATATTTGATGCTGTGAAATCTAAAAAATGCTCTTGGTTATGGTCAAACTAGCTAGATGTACTCCATGTATTTGCCAAAGGTTTTGTAATTGAAATCAGAAAATGGTGAGTCCACTAGATTGGATGATGTGAACTGGGTGCCATCCCTACTGAACCCAAAGCCACATCTCCTTGACATAGCCAGAGGGCACATCATATGGGTTAAAGAACTTCTCAATGAAATTGGGAAAGGGTGGAATGCTTGGCTGGTTAAACAACTATACAATGACACAAATAGTGCAACCATTCTTAAAATATGCACATTCAAACCAGGGAAGTAGGACAGGCAGTACTGGAAGCTTGACAGGAAAGGTGAATTTTCATTGTCAAGTACTCATTCTTATCTATCCAGACAGAAGCTCCTCACTTTGGATATTCCTAGCAGCAGTTCTAATACAGGTAACACTCATACCTCGGCTTACTCTAAGTGTTGGAAACTGGAAATCATTGGAAAGGTGAAACACTTTTTGTGGAAATGTCTTTCTGGTTCTTTGCCTGTCAAAACCAATCTGAAAAAAAAAAAGGGTATAGATGTTGGTGTTATTTGTCAAAGCTGTGGGGAAGTTCCTGAAAAACTGTGGAACTAATGCTCTTTCATTGTTCAAAAGCTGCAAGAGTATGGGAGATCTCCCCTGTTACTTGGGTTGGTATGCACTTTGTAACCTCTTTCAGGTATTGGTGGAACCACATCTGCACTATGGGATCTTCTGAGATAGCCGAAGCCCAAATCAACCTCACTACATACCTGTTTTGGTGGCTTTTGAAGTCCCGAAATATTTGGATATTTCAAGGCCAATCCATCTCGGCTCATCTGATCATCAAGGCAGTCCAAGAAGAGTGGCAAGAATTTTCTCAAACAGTCGGTTTGTAGTATCAGTCTTATGTATCTTATATTCTGCTTTATGTTTGAGACCTTGTAGTTGGTTTGTTTTGTACTCTCTCTAGGCCTTTGGGCAGTGGAGGGGATTAGCTGAGGATAGTTTTTTCAGTTTTTGTGTTTTATGCCACTTTAAGCATCATCTCAGTTTTAATTTTCGGGTATTGCTCATTTCATTCGAACATTGTTCACTCCGATTGAGTTAATACTACCTCTATCATGATGTATTCTATAAGGTGATTTCTAAAATTCTGGCTTCAAGGTTGAGGCAGTGCCTTCATGTGTGCATTTCTGAAAATCAAAATGCCATTTTGCCAGGCATGCAATTGTTAGACAATGTAGTTATTGGGCATGAAGTCTTTCACTTTTTGAATAGGCATAGAAGTGGGAAGAATTGTTTTATGGCTTTAAGCTTATGACATTGTAGAATGGAAAGCCATCCAGTTGACAATGGTTAGAATTTTCACAGGAAGTTTGTTAAATGGGTCATGGCCTGTATTCAGTTTCCTACATTTTCTATTAATATAAATGGCAAATGCTGTGGCCTTGTGTCTGCTTCCAGGGGTATCAAACAAGGAGACCCATTATCCATTTACTTATTCATCATCATTTCTGAATTACTGTCTGCAAGGATTAACAGGGATGTAGAGAAAGGTAGTTTTGCAGGTATCAGTATATCAAGAGGGGGGCCTATGCTTGCACATTTGATGTTAGCAGATGACACCCTTGTATTTTGCAAGGCATATAAAAGTCAAACGAGAAAGCTACTGAATATCTTACAGCATTTCCAAGACTTTACTGGCCAACAAGTGAGCATGGGCAAGTCTACCATTTTTTTCAGCAAAAACACATCTGAGGAGGTGCAACATTAGGATTTGCTCTTTATTGCCAGGTATTCAGAGACATGCTTCAACCAGGTATTTAGGGCTTTCCTTGGGCATAGGCAAATCAAAGAGAGAAGCCTTTGATTACATTCTGAATGTGGTGAGAATCAGGATTTTGAATTGAAAAAATAAATGGTTGTCAACTACTGGGAAGGAGGTTTTGATTAGCGCTATCCTTAATGCACTACCAGTATTTGCCATGTTTAGTTTTGTACTTCCTGCAGGGTTGTGCAAAGGAATCACTTAACTTTGTGGGCAATTCTGGTGGAGTAAAGGCTCAAACTTTCAGAAGGGGTTGCACTGGGTGGATTGGAACAAGTTGACAATGGCCAAGATACATGGTGGTATGGGATTCCATGATATCTAATTGTTTAACACTGCCCTCATAGCCCAACAGTTATGAAAGTTGGTCACTGAACCTGACAGGTTGGTGAGCCGAGTTCTTAAATCTAAATATTGTCGTACTTCATCACTGTTTGAAGCTAAGATGAAGCAGAACTCTTCTTGGCTTTGGGTTAGTTGGTTTTCTGTGTTAAAGGTATGTGGGAATTGGATGAGGGTTGAAATCTTGAATGGCAAGGATATCAGAATTTGGGATCAACACTGGATTCTAGATAAGATAGACATAGGGGTTGAACTCTTACCACAGATGGACAGAGGTATTAAGTGTGTTTGTGATCTGTTAACAAGTGATGGCAGAGGATGGGATGTAAACAAACTCAGATCGACCTTTACTCCTGAATTCTGCAACTCTATCTTAAGCATTGATTCTCTTAATCCTAATTCAGAGCACACATCGGTCTGGTCATTGCACAGGAAAGGTTTGTTTACAGTCCTATCTACTTACTTCAAACTCATTACAGAGAAGTTTCTAACACAGGCCAAGGCTCAGACTAGCAGGGACATGGCTGCAGATATGAAGGTTAGAGCAAGAACATGAAGACTCAAGGTAATGGGGAAAGTAAAACATTTCATTTGGAAGTGTTGTAATGGAACTTTGCCTATGAATCTCAACCTGCGAGCTAAAGGGATTAGGGTGGATCCTTTTTGTAGGATGTGTGGAGAGGAGAGGGAGTCGTTAGAGCATAGTTTATTTCATTGCAGGTTTGCAGCAACAGTGTGGACACTGGCTCCACTTGATTGGGTTGGACCTCAAGGCACATACTCTTTTAAATCCTGGTAGTGGCAAATATGTCAACTTGACAAGAGTGAGACTTCTGAATCACGTATTCAACTTTTTGACTTATATATTGTGGTGGCTTTGGAAGTCTTGCAATCTTTGGGTGTTTGAAGAGGTTAGAAGACCTCCACACATTGTTGTTAGAGCGGCAGTCCTGAATTGGGAGGATTTTCTAAAGAACAATAGGTATTAGGTCTTTTGTTTTTTGTTTTTTTTTTTGTCTGGTTGAAGGGCTCTTGTAGTTTTTTCATTGTGTAGGATGTTTTTGTTGTTATGTGATTTAGATGGTTTTTGTATTTGGGCTGAAGAGTAAAGATTCGGTTGAGTGTAACCGTTTTACTCTTTATTAATTTAGTTATCGCTTGTCAGTACTGGTTTGTTCCAGCCCACCTCGGAGTGATGCTCCCATGTCTCGGCTATCGAGTTTGTATGAACTTTTTATTTATGTGTAATGAGATTCTTCTATCGTTTGAAAAAAAAATAAAAAATAAAAAATCAACAGTATTGTAAATTAAAAAATTGGTCCAACAAGTGACCCATCATGAGTTGCAAAATGCATTGGGTATTATATTGTCTCAGCCCTACCTCCGATTATTATTATTATTATTATTATTTTTCTTCTTTTTTTAACAGAAAAAGAAGAATTATCTGCAACCAGGGCGTCTCTCTTCTAGAAATCTCCTTCGTTTTGCCATTGAAAATTTCGCCTCGCATAGACATATGCGCAATTAAACATCGAAGTGTCTACCAAGAGACAAAAACCCCTAAACCCACACGAAATTCTCAAGCATGGAATATCAACATCCCCACGGCTACATGAGGCCTCCGCCTCCGTCCACGGCGGATCCCTACCAAAGACCACCACCTTCAGTTCCTCCGCCGCCGCCAAGCCAACCCTGGCCCTACTCCGCCACCCAATTTCAATACCAATCCCAAACACAGCACTCCCCCTCTCCACCTCCGCCGCAGTGGCGGTCGCCTCAATCCTCCGATCACGCGCCTTACCCTTCTCCTCATTTTCCTGTGCACCAGCCTTCGCCTTATCCTGCCCAACCTCACTACCCACCTTCGCATCCGCTTCCGCCAAGACCGCTTCACGCTCCGCTGTCTTACTCTCAGGTATTTGTTTAAATTAGCTTTGGAAAACTAGGTCTAGGATCATTGATTTTCCCAGCGCTCGAATCTTTGGATTTATAGAGTTGAGTTTGCTCTGTGATTGAGCTAGGTCTTGGGTGATCTGCCTTTTTTCAAGTGAAATAATTAGCTTAATGGAAACTGAATGATTGCTTAGTACCATAGCTTCAATTTTTGTGTAATTTGCGTAGTTTTGTGTGGTATTGCTGGTATGACGGAGGGTTACTTAATTGATTGAAGACGGAATAATATTGAGATTTGTTGTATTGGATTCCTTCTATATGCTGATCAAGATTTTTCTTGTTTCTTTTCCGTAACCTATGTTGGTTGGGTCAGTAGGCTATTGTGTAAATCCATCTTAAATTAAGAATTGGTCAATGCAACATTTGTCAAATCTAATTTCGAGAAGCCATTAATCATGCTAAATATGCACTAATATATAAGTTTCTGCATTGATCTGATTAAGGAACGGTTTGCTAGTGATAGGAGAAATTCTGTGGTAGCAATAATGTATTGAATAAAGCGTCCTCTTGAAGGTCATTGTAGTGTTATATATTTGAAAATGCTAATCAAGGTTGTCAATAAATAGTTTTTTCAGGCCTATTCTATGAGCAGAATCAACCTCCTATAGACCTTTGCAAACATCATCACTGTTATGCTTAGAATTTAATTAATTTCAACGTGTCTCTAGAACTGTCCTGGCTATTTGGTGTTATCAGTTTTCCATGCACATTCTTCTAGGAAATATATGAAATTTTGACTTGGTGGAATTTTCTGTTGTAGGATTGGGGAAGCAGCTGGACTCCGCAACAGAATTGGCAGTACCAAAGTTAGTACATGAGAATCTTGCTGTTTGGACATCCTTAGTCTTTCAAAATTTTATGCTTATATTAATCACTCTTGTTTTCTTCTCTTCATTTGTGATGTCATATAAGGTTGTGCTATTTATCATATGAGTTGAATGTTCCATGTTAAATCCTTTAGGGACCATGCCGTTCACTCAGTGGAAAAGTATAGATACAATGGCGTAAATGTTGCAGCTTTATGCACTGTCGTTGACAGTTTGTTGATAGCATAGTTCACTTTCTTAAGTCATTTGGAAAATTCAATCTGTCATAATATGCAATTACATCTTTTCCATTAGTTTTTGAGGACATGATCTGACTAGTGTGACAAGGCAATCTTGGATCTCCCTTCGGTCATCTTAACCACTGTTAGGATCGTTTGAACTGTGAATTTGTGGATACAAAATGTTTACTGAGTGAAGGAATAATGATTAATGTTTTTTTCTGTGGACCCTTACGTAATGTCTTGTGTGTCATGGTAAATTGTTGCAGCTTCTTGAGTCAGCCTTCATATATCATTAGAAGTATAGAACACTAATGATTCAAATGGTGTATATTTTCTTTGACAATGTAGTGCTGTTCCATAAACTGATCCTTCTTTCCTTCATTCCTATTTTTCCCTTGTTGTAACCAAAAGCCCCTTTATACCAGGCAAATTAAATGCATTCCTTTTGGCAGAAACACCTGGTGTATAAACTTTAGATGAAGAGAAATATAGTTGGTACGGCAGTTTCCAGGAAATGCTATTTAAATTACTAAAAAGCTAGTGAACATTTTGCGTACACTATTTTTTCACCTTTTTTGTAGTCGTTTTTCTGTTATTGAGATTAGATCTCTGTAAGAGAAAGAAGATTATAACAACAATAAGAAAGTTACTTGAAGTCTTTTGATTTTGCATACTTGCAACCCTTTCCCTTCTGAATTTTTTTACGTTAGCTGGCCAATAGGGTGGGTTTGTAGACACTGCTTCTTAACAAAATAAATCGTGATTTTCGGAATTTTCATTGATTAATTGTTATGTCAGAATGTTGCTAATTTGGGTACTTGAGTTACTACCATTGTGGGTCGTTTTTTGTGTCAGCTACAGAAATCACTTATTCTAGGAGTGCCTGATCAACCTTTCTTGGTTTAAAAGTCTGAATGAGTGTTCATATCTTTTTTAAGTGTTCTTTGCTGTCATTCCCTGCAAAATTTGTATGAGATACTGGCCGTCATATTATTTTTGAACACTCATTCAGTTAAGAGATAGCTTGTTTTTTAAAAATCTAACAATTATGTGCAAAATTGTTATGTCATATTAGTCTTGAACACTCTTTCAGTTGAGAGATAGCTTATTTTTTAATAAATCTAACAATTTTGTGCAAGATTGTTCTGCCAGCTGCTAGACATATGATTAAATTCTGTCAGCTGTTCGACTTATGATGCTTGGAATTCTGATTGAGAATGAATGTTTAATACCATTTTGGTTTTGTATCAACAGCAAATAACAATGAGGAAGATTGGGGAGCGAAAGCTAAAGCATGGCTTGCTGCGAAAGCTGCCACAGAAAATCAGAACCCTTCTCCGCAATTTGTAACAGGCGGAGGAACAGAAGAGAAGTATCAGAACCGTGAGCAATATTCACAACGCAGTGACCCTCAAACACAGTTCGCTTCCGCATCAAACTATCAACAGTACCCAGGTGCAGTGGGATCCACAAACCATACAGGTCTCTGTCAGTTGCAAGAGTCCCAAGATGCCAGTTCTGGACAATCTTCTTATGGTGCAGATATGCATGTGGCTTCTGCTGCTAGAGATGGAAGCCATGCTGGAGATTCAATTACTCCTATAAATCCATTAGTCCATCAGCAGGAGGTACCTTCTAGTTATTCTTCTGTTGCAGGTAAAACCTTAATTGGATGTTATTGCATTTGAATCCTCCGCCCAAAACATTGTTTCTGTTATCTGTAATTAAGATTCAGTGTGTGAGATATGGCTTCTGCAGTAACGACCTAGATATAAATAAGGTAAAAGAGTTGAAGGCATTGCTCAGTTGGGGGTTATTGTGTGGTTATGGGGCATTTTTCAAATAGCATTTTAGGTATACAACATAGAACTTCATAATCAATCAAAATGGTTGCATAATTTGGGCTAGGAGATTCATAGTAGGGATGGTCCATTATCAAGTCAGTACCATACTGATATTGTAACATAATTATCAGGTATAGAAGCTTTTGAGTTTGAAGTTAAAGTAATTTACTATTAATTGTGGACATGGAAAATTATTGTTTATTTTCATGATCAGGTCTAAATTTTATTTAGGAAGGGCTGGGGTGTATTAAGAAGAAAATCGTCTTGACTCCTGTCTTTTATTGCAGGCAATGAAGAGGTTGGAGATAGATATGAAAAGTTCAATAGCTCTTCATCTCTGCCTGTTGCCCTTCTTCCTCAACATGTGCAGCTGCAGCCACCTGGACGAGATGGATGGATGGAGGAACCTCGTACATTTGGCCACGTTCCAGCTGAGTCCCCATCAACTCTGAGAGATCAACCCTTAAATTTTGCCCCTCAGTTTACACGTAACCTGAACCCACATGCACAACCCAATTATAATTATTCTTCAGGAGCTGTAAGAGGTGGGGAGGCTATATCTTCAAACTATGCATGGCCATCTTCTACGGCACCAGGAGCTGCTTATCCCCTGGTGCCTCCATCAAACCCATCAGTTGCACAGGTTACCTGCCTATTCTTTTATTCTATGTTTTTGTTTATCTTTGTTGTGTTATGTATTGTGACTCCTCTTATATCTCATAGGTTGACCATCCGATAGCTATGCCTTCTCCAGCTCCTGGACATCCTGCTCCTATGTTTCCTACTGGGCCTACTTTCCAGCCAACAATTCCTATGATAGGAGCTGCTTTTGGTGGAGTGGGAGTAGCACCTTCTCCTACAGCTTTTCCCGTAGATGCACATGGTGTTTCTGAGCGCCCTAAGAAGGTGGGAGATCTTTTAGTGCTAGCTTTGTCTTGGTAACTTCGTCAGTCATATGGAAGTGATTCTTTGAATTGTAGGCATCAGTACCTAATTGGCTTAGGGAGGAAATAATTAAGAACAAAGCTGTTATCACAAGTTCTGTCCCAGAGATTCCCAAAGACGACTCCCAGTCCATTGAAGAAGATAGTATTGGCAAGTCTTCTAGGAAAGGATATCAAGGGGATAGCAAAAGCATTGATTCTTCTAGGTCAACTGAAGATGAGGACGAGGATGAGGTGACTCTCTCTCGCTCTGTCTCTCTCTCTCTCTCTCGCACACACATTCCAAGAGCTGTTAGACATGGCATGATCTGGCATTGCATTTCTACATTGATTTTTTTGTTACTCAGTATTTAGAGAAGTCCACCTTGACTTTTGGCACCTAAATTGTACATATCGATGCATTATAAGCCTTGTTTTCAAATACTACAGAGGAATCTTCCAAGTCATGCATCGTCCTTTTTGCCTCTCTATATTTCTAATTCTCGAACTTTACCTTCTTTATGCCTCGAGTATAAATCGGTCTCTCTCTCTCTCTCTCTCTCTCTCTTTCTTTCTTTCTTTCTTTCTTTCTTTCTTTCTTTCTTTGTAGGATGATGTAGAAGTAGCTAGAACTGCAGCTATCAACCAGGAGATAAAGCGCGTACTTACAGAAGTCCTTATGAAGGTTGTTGCTGGTTAATTTATATTACACTTTAATTAAACTTCCAGACATGTTTTAACTAGGATTCTTTGGCAGGTTACTGATGAACTTTTCGATGAAATAGCAACCAAAGTTCTTATAGAAGACGATCTCTCAGTTGAAGGTGACTCCATTGAACTGCTCTACCAAATTCCATCTTTTTCATTGTCTTATCTTCTCTTCTGTGTAGTGCATGGGGTATTAGGATCACTTGAAATGATTCATTATCTTATACTTTCACCTATGTTGCATATAATATGTCATGCATGCCTTTCTTATCCATGTAGTTGGCCGCGACGTTGGCTTGTCAAACCACCAAATATTACCCTCTATGCAATCTGTTTCAAGACCCAAGGCATCTGCAAAGATTCTGACCCCTATAAAGACCAAGGATAGTGATTATGATGATGCTAGTGAAAAGTCAACCTCTGCCCCCCCTGGGGACATACTAGGTTTGGGTAGTTATGTCTCGGACGAGGAAGACGAGGATATACAGAGTAATTTCAAGGAAAGCTCTACTCATCTGCAATCTTCCTCAGGCAAGCCTTTCAAAGGTAATTCTATCGACGAGAATGGCTCTTCCGTGGAAGCAAAAAGGGAACAATCGAACTTCCCTGCTAAACTGGACTCTGATAGCACTGACAAAAAGAGTCCAGTCAGTGCTACTCCTGACGGCGCAAAAATGGAGTTGAGTGATTATAAGAAAGCTGGAGACCTAGCATTCGTTGATGATGGACGTTCCTCAAAGAGGGTCTATAGGATTGCAGCAGATGGGTTGCAACATGAACCTGATATTTCGAAGCTAAATAATTCGTTGAATAAAAAGGTTGAGAGAAATGAGGATGATTCAGATGCTAGAAGGGTGGCTAAAGATGATTCTAGAATCCAAGATATTCGTAATCGCTGTGATAAGAATGATAGGATTGAACATGGAAGGAGCTCGGTTAATAAAGACCCCAATTATTCAGAAAGTTCCATGGAAGGGATTGATAAGAAAGGCGATGAAGAGAATGGAAGGCACTCAAGAACTGAAAGGCCAGAGTATCACAATAATTCAGAAGATAAGGGTAAGGAGAAAGGTAGGACTGATGGAATAGTAAAGAATAATGAGTCAAGGAAACGCCATTCATCTTTAGGTGGCAAGGAAGGAGCTACTGAGATACAGAGAGAGAAAAGAGCTAGTGGCAAAAAAGAATACAACGATAGAAGAGAAGATGGAACAAGGGGTGAGAAAAGAGAACGCTCTAGAGATAAAATCGAAAGTAAATCAAGCCAACATAAACGGCGACATTTGTTTCCTGTCGGTGTCAGAGATAGGGATAGCAAGGATAACTCCTTGGTTAATCGGGCACGTGATTCCAGCCACGAGTCTTTGAATGATTCTAGAAGGTATGCCCTTTATGAAAATATGTTGGTATCCTGTTTAAAATTTCTATTTTCCAGTTTCTTACAACGTGTTTTGATTTGTAGAAAATCACATGATTCACATCACTCAAAAAGGCGTAAATCTCCATCACCTGACAGGTCAAGAAAGAGGTATGTTTACCACAAAAGTAACGCTACCAACGTTATTATTTTACATTAAACTATAAAAGATATTAACATTTATTCTCTCAATTATCAGTATAATTAACTGAAGAAAAACAAATTGATAAGACTGACACAAGATAATTCAATATATCTGATAAATTAAAACGTTATATTTGTTTTTTCTTGTTTAAATTNATATTTCTTAGTTCCTTTATATATTTGTATCTTTAAATTCAGAAATATGTTAATATTTTCGGCCCTCAGCACATGACATGGACTTACTGGCTTGATCTAATACTGATAGAAACAAGCAACTCATTAAACCTGGCTAAGTTTTATTGGTGCTCTGGAGTTTCTAGACATATATCGAATCTCTGGCTTAGCAGTGATTTCATGGTTCGCTGTTCATTTATTTTTGGTTGATCTGAAGAAGAGATTTTCTTTAACCTGTTTTAGAAGAGAATTCCTTGTATAGCAGATGAATTCTGTTTGGCAGTACACCAGTGGCATCGTTCTTTTTACTTTATTTTGCATTTTATGAAATCAGAAATACGCATGCATACTAGGTACCGTTTAGTGTTTTATCTTGCTCGTAAATCTTTTCATCATCGGGACATGCATTCTATGTGATTTGATAATCTACGATCCATATATAAGAATATTTGTGAATTTTTTTTTCCTTTTTTTTTTTGTATTTTTTAATGATAACAATGTGTGTCCGTAGGGATAATATTTGTAATTATCTTTCTTCTTCTATTCTTATTTTTATGAGACTTTGTCTATGAATCCACATGTAATCGGTATGTGAACTCAGGTGAATAAACATTTTCCAGCACTATGATAGTATCGTGAACATTATTAGTATAAACATAGTTAAATTGCAAAATTTCAGGGGAAAAAGATCATCTTCTAGATCAAGGTGAAGATCACCTCTGCACCGACATCTGTAGCAAAAAGAAAGTGGTAGGTTGGATGATCTGTACACCTGTGTAACCAGCATCTATCGTTGAAACTTTTGTAAGCTTTATGGAAGTTGAACTTTCAACAACTCGCCAAAACTGGTGGTTGACTGGGGTGAGATCGCCAGAATCCAAAATCTGTGCCTTTTTTTTTTTTCTCNTTTTTTTTTTTTCTCCTCAAAACAAGAAATTGGGTCAAGTTGACTGGTTGAGGCATATGTAGTGCATGTTAATTATCTGTTCCTGCGTTTATTTGTCATTTATGGAAGTTAATGATTCTGATTGTTTTAAGTTCACCTATACAAATAAGTTCAGGTCTCCTGTCGTCGATATTGTGGTCTCAGTAGAAATTATCTCTTGTACGGTATTTTCTTTTGGCATGGTGAGTTGTGATGAAATTCAGCTTTACATGTGCTGTTTTGATATTAAGGAAACCAACCAAATTTGCAGATCACCGGTTCTGGCTCGTCGACCAATGAACCAGAATCGTGATTTTCCAGTTTGACTAATTGACCAACAAACTGAAGCTATTGCTTATGGTTTCAATGTTGGAACCATTTGATCATTGGTTTGTGCACAAGTGTCTAAATTTGAAGACAAACTGGTTGGCTTGACAAGGGATCGACTGGAGGAAGACTCAGACAACTGTTTCCCTAAAAGACTATCTCGGTCCAACAAAAAAGAAGCTACCAACCACAAAATAAAAACAGGCAAACTAAAACTAAGGACAAAGCAAGAAAACACGAGTCCAAAAGATTAACTGAAACAAAAAATATTTTTAGCTAAAACATGGACAACATAATTGAACACAACTCGGTTAATTAGCTTTTGCAGCAGCCTCTTATCTTCTATGAATATCACAGCTTTCTGCTAACCAAGTATGACTCCTTTCTCCAACCATTCTCTGATTTCAAGCACATGAAAATCAAAAATTGCGGTGGGGCCAATCTTAGGCTGCAAAACCTACACATGAAAATAAAAAACCCGCGTAAAACTCTCACGGTGAAAATATGAAGAAATTGAGCAAAAATTTGGGGAAAGAAAAATTAAACGAAAATCATGGTGAGAATCAAGGTGAAGGCAATCAAATTGAGGTCACCGAGGCGAGATGGCGATACGTCATCCGAGTCGCTGCCTGCATCGTCGCTGGCCGCGTCACCTCAGCTTGATTCATCATCGCCATCAGTTGCGTCACAGTCGCCGCTGCTAGAGTTGTCGGCTGCGTCGGCGTCGCGCCGTCGCGAGCCTCTTTCACATCGCCGGTCGACCCGCCGTATGGGGTGGTATCACGACCCCCACGGCCCGAGTTTGTTTGACCTACCGTTAAGAAGTCAAAGGAGCTGCAGCGCACCGTCAAGACGACCAAGGCGCCGGCCACACCCTCACGACCGCGTGCCACGACAATGGTAAAAAAAGAAGAAGCATCGATCCACTTGTCGCAGCCGGAATCAACCCCTCCGGCAGCCACGGGGACACTGACCATCCCACTCTATGCCTCGTTGGAGCCAGCGGGTCCATCTGCAAGTACAGCCAAGGGCACCACAGGACCGGACCCGTCGCCACAGCCGCAATCCGCCTCTCTGGCAGCAACAAGGGTTTCACCAAGGCAACCCCGTGTTTCACCAGAGACATCAGAAACACATAAGGAGGCCCTTGCTTCCAAACGGACCACTCGCACTAAGGCGGGTGGTGCCGTACCCTCGACGGCTGCACATACGTGGGTGCCACCAATCTCGATATCGGGCTTTGAGGATGAGACTGGGGCCCTAATCCTATTCAATGATGAAACTAGGGCTCGAGTTCCCCGCAACAAACACACGAACAACCCAAGACGCGGTGTTAGGTCTGACGATCCCTAGATCGGCAGACGTCAGTCCTTGTCGATCTCTCTTTGAGTCTTCTTGAAGAGGATATGAAATCTCTCCTCATCTGAACGTTGATTCGATAGGCCACCGCCCAAGTTGTCCCATCTTCAAAAAACAAGTTTTGCATGGATACACACGGTGCCACCATACACTCCTAGCTGGCATTGAACATTTATTGCCTATTCACTTTTTTCTATATATAAATACCAACCCCTTCGGGCTATACAAAGAACAAGCAAAAGAAAAAAAGAGCACAGCGCAACACAAACAACACCTATAGATATACATAGTAGATGTATCCAAAAATAATACCCTCACGTAGCTCTTACACTCTCATATGGCTGTAATACATCTTTGTATAATCCCCTAATAAAATTCAAGAGAACCACTCTGCTTGCCGATCAGAAGATCGACAACATCGGCGCATTGTTTATTTTTTCCGCATATTTACTTTCTTAGATAGTGTAAATCCGTTCATATTCTCTCTTGGTTTATCGCTTCAATTACAACATAAAATACATTGTAACCCCCAATTAAAACAACTAATTTATATCAATTGTAACCGCTGGCGGTTGATCGTCAACAAAGATATTTGACATGAGAGTTGTGATTCATCTATTATGAAATATGTAAAATATAATTTTCATATAATGAGAATGGATTTGAGAATGAAAGTTTCACAAGGCATGATATGAATATTAATATGAATACCAATAATATTTGAAGACAAAAATAAGCAACATATACATCTATATGATACTCGTAAAATTCATGGAAAGAAGTTCATGATGAATGAGATGTATTTATATGAATACGTGTTGTACCTTCGTCCATTAGCTGAGTCTTGCTTCATCAGATTCCCTAGCAAGGTATTTAATGAAGCAACGGTGATGATAGATTCACATGTATAGAGTACTCTTTTCTGTCATTATAAATTTATCCCACTGAGTTTTCTCTAATAAGAATTTAATGAGGCATATTCATAGTATAATGTGGACTATTGGATAATTGATATGATATTTCTTGACAACAAAAAGATCAGGAGTAGATGCACTCTTTTTTCCTTCAATCAAGTTTCTTTCTATAGGATTCTCTCAACAAGGTTTTGATGAAGCGACACCTGAATACACCACAAAGGATGATTTACATGAGGCTGAGCAACTTTATACTCCTACAATGCTCATTTTTTGTCCCACCGCGTCTTGACATGATGTAACATTACATGATGTCTATAAGATGTTAAGAAGTTTTTTGGTGAATTTTCACTTTTACTGTGTGATTTGGAAATAATTGTAATTTTACGATGGGGTAAACTTTGTTTGCATCTTTACAAATTCCATGTCAATTATTGAAAAGATGCACCAGATTATGAGATTTTCAATTATGAAATAAAACGTAATCGCCTCCCCCTTAAATTGCGCAGGTTATGAGAATATTCGATTAAACAAACAAATAATTATAATATATGGTAAGGTTATATATCCTACAAAATATGATGTTGTTTCACTATAAAATAGAATGAGAAGGAATTTGAATTTCAAACTACATCATCTTCCAAATATATATGTGTGACGGGAACATGAAGCTTTTGCCACATCATTTTCCGCGGACTGTATGTTGCATTTCGTAAAAATTGCAGCTACAACGAACTATATGTTGTGTTTATAGTCAGTAAAGGTTTTCAGCTCCCAAGTGTTTTGATGTACAGTATATATTACGTTTATAGTCAGCATATATTCAGTATATACTTTATCTAACCACAATTGTGATGTTTGAATTTTGGTTCAGTATATAACCTGATGTGTTTTTTATTTACATAATAATTTTATCTAACCACAATTGTGATGTTTGAGTTTTGGTCCAGTATATTGCGTTTATTGTCAATATATATTCAGTATATGTTGCATTTTTTATTTACATAACATTTGAATCTAACCACAATTGTGAAGTTTGAATTTTGTTCAGTATATAACCTGTGATATACATATCATAAATTGATCATAGTCATTATTCTAATAAACTATTTTAGTATATGATACAAATACAAATGTCAGTAGCTTGAAACTAAATGTCAATGAGTTGAATAAAAATGGGTTCATGAATAGAAAAAGCATAAAAGTAGTAATGGTAATGGAAAATCTATACATCCTATAATCAGAATAAAATTTTGGATTTCATACATATCATAAACTACTCATAACAGCAGAGGTGTGTGGGAAATAAACAGTAAAACACACTATCGATGAAAACCAGATGAATCAAGCCGACGAAAACATATATTGAAAATATATTGTCTATACAAGCAGCACATACTGTCGAAATCTCCACGAGCCCGTGATTCTGGCCTCGCCTTCGTCATCTCCAACTTGACCTCCCCGCTGGGAAGGAGGAGGAGAGGGGCGCGCAACCGCTGGAGTCTATCGTTGCCTCTTAAAAAAACATTCGCATGGATCGAAAAAAGAATTCACCACATCTCCTACTCAAGTGATTAAATTCAAAATAAAACGCAAGAAATAAAAACATCCATAATTTTACAGTTGTTCAACAATAATGAAAATGGTGGTATAACTGCAATTTTCGGCGATTTTTTACCCGCTGAACACGGTGGCGGATCCAGCACTATTCCTTCGCCAAAGCCCGGAGAAAATCGAGGATGCATATGGCGGATAATAGAGAACCGGGGCGAGACCCCGACTTCAAAAGTCAACCGATCGAAAAAAGAAATGAGAAAAAAATCAATTGTAGGGGAAGAGAAAACATTAACGTTGAATTGTAGAAGAAGAAGAAGAAGAAGAAGAAGAAAAAGAGAGATAAGGAGAGAGAGCGTGCGTGGGGAAAATAAATTTTATTAAATTAGGACAGTTATTAATTACATGTAACTACGTTAATAATTATTTTTAAAAAAGGTAAGTTAAAATTTGAGTGGTATGTATGCAAATATTTATGTCTGATTTTGTATGTCTGCAAATAAAAAATTATGTTAGTATATATGCAATATTTTATGTTTCGGTTAGTGCATGGGGATAATTTTCTCAAGTTTTTTTAATCATATTGACTCTTCTTTCATTTAGTTCAGATATATTTTGTAAATAATAAATCAATACGAGTGTTATGAAAATATCTGTTAGTTTATTGTACCCCATGATGTTATTGTATCTCTAAAATTTTATAAATTGAAATTTCAATTTACAATTAAAGCATAATAAGAAAATACATTTCTTAGATTCTATAGGTTTACAGTAGTTGCAACATACAAAAAGCAGCATGAACATATTAATGTGTTACGCAGTGAGAGTTTCATTACAAAAAATTGTAAAATGCCAACAGAAATTCCCTAACATAAATATTTCGGTTGAAATCACCAACATGATTAACAATGCTATATAATCTTTTTATATGAACTACCAAAAGAATGCTAATAAAATATTGCAATGAAAAATGATTCTTCTGTTGACAAATAGCGACGACGATCCCCATATATATTAATTCAAAACGTGCTTAGCCTAAGTGGAAGACTCGCATGCTTTAAAATCCTATATGTCAGAATATCATGTTATGTATTTAGGTTCGGATAAAAAATTTAGAAAAAAAAAATTGGATTGGAAAGTACCATAAATAATTTTTCCACCATACATTATTGTCTCCTATCAATTTCTTTTTCATTACCAAATTTGTCTTGAATTTACAGATCACACAATTTTTTTTTTCCTTATTTCATTTTACTAAAGATTTATCCCATTCATTATTACTATTATTTTTTTTTTAACTAAACACGTCCCTTATCTTAATTCTCATCAATTTTAGCCTTATTTTAATCATCATCTCTTATCTTATTTTTCCAAGTTGATAAATTTTAGCTCATTCATCATATTTTTCTATTTTTCCAAGTTGATAAATTTTAAGCAGAACTAATAACGTTTTGTATAAAAAAAAATTTAATTATTTAAAACAAAATACCAATACATAGTAATTTTTGTTTTATGAAACTTTCATTTATTCGTTTTGTATATACTTACAACAACTAAACTCATTTACTTTATTTGTTCAAATTATTTTTTCATACACATGTGATGAGTAGCGGCGGTATCAAGAACCCGGATAGTCAGCACTGCACTAGATACGCATGTAGTCATAGTGGTCGGCTCAGAATGCCAGTACACGCGTGTCGTGCTAGTCTTCTATTAATAAACAATAACGAATTTGCAATGGACTTAGCATTTGCACCAAATTTGTTTTACAGTTGAATTACCAACGGATTCCATACCTGTCACACTCCCAACACAAGTTCATAAGTCTGGCTACAATGACACAATAGCATCATAGATGGAGTATGATCTACACGTGACAGGGCATGAGAGAATTCCAGTCCAAACCACACCACACATCGACCCCATTTCCACAAAGAAAAAAGAAAAAGAAAAAAAAAATCAAAATCCCCCGAAAAATGGACAGTCATCATAACACCACAGACAACAACTTGGTGAGTATCCAAGTGTAGACAACAGCGAAAGTAGCCCCGGCAGGAATGGTCACAACCCACGAGGTCACAATCTCCCTCACCGTCTCAGCCCTCACACTATTGAGTCCCCGCGCAAATCCCACCCCCATCACCGCCCCAACGAGCGTGTGCGTGGCCGAGATCGGCAGCCCGAGCTTGGATGCCCCGAGCACCACCGACGCTGCCGCGAACTCGGCCGCGAACCCCCTCGTCGGCGTGAGCTCCGTGATCTTCTTCCCGATGGTCGCTATCACCCGGTAACCCCACATCATGAGCCCGGCCACGATCCCGAACCCGCCCCACGCCAGCACATCGTTCGGGATCACGATCTCGGCCGCGGCCGCCTCCCGGCCCTGGAGGATGGAGAGGGCCGCCGCGAGAGGCCCGATGGCGTTGGAGACGTCGTTCCCCCCGTGGGCGAACGACATGAAGCAGGCCGACAGCACCTGCATGTATGTAGGCTTGTNGTCGAATTCGTGATTCGAATTCGAATTCGAATTCGAATACGAATAATGTTTTATTTTCGAAAGTTAAACGAATCCGAATTCGAATTTGTAGTTATTCGATTAGAAAATTATCGAATATTCGATTCGTTAACCATAATTATATAAATTTTATAAATTACATATAGTACAAAATTTGTTTATAATATATATATGTATTGTTATATTGCTAATATTTTTATGACATAAAAGAAAAAAATATCCCAAACAACAATTTGCCCTGAAAAATCTCAAATTGGATAGGAAAAACATAAACAATATTTCTGCAATTATAATCTTTTTTTTTTTGTTTAATTTTAATATTTTTCTGAAAACGAATTTCGAATCGAATCGAATACGTTCGAATATCCTAAACGAATCGAATACGAATAAAAAAGATGAGGAGTTTGTCTGCGAATCGAATACGAATTCGAAAATCTTCGAATATTTAAAATTTTAACGAATTCAAATCGAAAATCTCAGTATTCGATTCGTTTACAACCCTATACCTGCATGTAGCCGAAGACGCCGTACACGATCTCCAGCTGGGTGCCCGTGGGGCCCGCTATGTCCGAGAGGAAACCGATGTTGCTGCCCTTGTCGGAGGACTTGGAGCTGCCTGGATTAATGGAGTCGGATGATGAGTTGGCGAGGAGGTGGCCGAGCTGCCTGCGTATGATTCGGTCGACGAGGACGGCGCCTGCGGCCCCACAGGCCAGAGCCTGGGCAAGGGCAATTGAGAGGGTTTGGCTGAGAGGAAAGGCCGCAAAAGAAATGCCCGTCACGCCTAAAAATACGGCGAGAGGAGCGGCTGCTGCCGCCGCTTGCCCCGGGTTTGGGGCACTGTACACAAACTGGAAGTGAAGAAAGGCGGGTTAGGTTTTTAGATATCATACTTTATAATCAATCACTACCTACTCTTTAAACACTATGAGCAAAAATTTTGTGATTGAATTGTTTGTGCAAATAAAAGTAGGAGTTGGAATTGGACACACGTTTTTAGTAATAACTTGGAAAATCACGTTTTATTTTAGCCATATATATATACAAGCACTCAGCAGAATTATTCAGATGCCACTTGAGAAGAAGCATGGATATATATATACACTGACGACGTACGTACCCTGCGAATGCATTTGTAGACAAGGAAAGACACCATTGCTCCTACTAAAGGGGAGACTACCCATGACGAAGTTACCCTTGCCAAAGAACTCCAAAAAACAGCCTCACTTCCTCCATAGGCAAGCCCAAATCCAACCATTGATCCAACTATGCAATGCGTAGTCGAGACTGGCCAGCCATAGTACGAAGCAACCTAAGTGGTCAAATAAAAGTTATTATTTTAATAAATATGTATTCGGTTTTTCACTAAACTTTAAAATATAATTCAAATATTTAATTACATTACAATGGCTGCTTATTAGCTAGATCATAGTAGCAAAAGTACTGGGTTCTTCAAGGAAAAAGAAAAAGTCCCAACTTACCGTGAATAAACAAAATTTCAATTAGTCTTAAAAATATATATCTCCTCACAAATCTCAACATGCATGGGTCAAGTAAATAAAAACCGCAAATAAATAGAAATTGAAAAAAAAAGAGATGCGTTTCCCATAAGCAGATACAGGAAGGGTAATTTTAATAGTTATCCCGAAATTCAGGGGTAGCTTTAGCAATTACAATCCCTAATTTTGATATCCCAACCTGTAGCCAAGTGCCGGCAGCAGCCAAGGAAGAGAGCAGGCCAGCAAAGAGTAGAGTATCCTTCCCCCGGAACACATCCGCCACCAGAATCCCCTTCTGCATCGTGCTGGTGACGTGGGTCCCCATCAGCAAGGCGCCGGAAAACTCGAGCACCGCCGCCGTCACCACCGCCTGGCGGAGCGTGAGCGCCCCAGAGCCCACCGACGTCCCCATGGCGTTTGCCACGTCGTTAGCCCCAATGTTCCAGGCCATGTAGAAGCCGAAGAGCAGGGTCGCGTACGAGAGGACCCGAGTCTGGACGGGCAAACCCCGGCCCAGCGAGGACATGAACAGCGGCAGACAGAGGGCCGCCATGGCTATGCACAACGAAATTCCCGACGCCGTCCTCGAGGAGATGTGGAGGGCCTGAGCCATCCCCGGGAGCTCATCGGCGGCTTTGTTTTCATCTCGATGCTGCTGGTGGTAGTGTCGATCGTCCGCTTGTTCGCCCTCGAAAGAGGATAAGGCGGCGAAAGGGCGCCTCGGGAGGCCGAATAGAGGAGATGGAGTTGAAAACGAGTGGTGGGGCCTGAGGATGAGGAATTCCCTTCTTTGATTTTGGGAATCGGATTTTCTGCATTTTGGGAGATAAATATGAGGGGTGCGGAGCAGAATGTGAGAGAAAGTCATGAGGAGAGGGAGAGAATGGAATGTGTGAGGGAATTGTCCGGATGATTTTCCTATGCCATGGAATTGGAAGCGCTCGAGAAGAAGAGAGATGAGTTGGGTTTTCCTTTTGCTTTTCTTCCATTATGTGGAAATGTGAGGTTTTGGGATTTGGATGGAACGAGTGGTCAAGAAAGACCAAGATTTACACCTTTGTGTTGCTTCAGAGCCACTATATCCAATATGGCAATATCCAATATCCTTAGGCTGTCCCAAAGCGACGAAGTGTTCAAAATATTTTATTAGTTGACGTGCATGTGTAAAATTTAAAGATAAAATTATATTACATTATTCTTTTTAAATGTGACTTTATCAATAATTAACCAAATAAATGATGTTTTGGATCTTTCGTATATATATTTCCATTATTACTTTCATTTAGCTAATAAATACACTACGTCTTCTCATATTCACTCTTTTTTCTTTTCTCAAAACATCCATCACTATCTTCATTAATGAGGGTTATTATTGACAAAAAAAAAAATTAATTAATTACTGTGCAACTTCTCAAAACGACACTTATTATAAATAGAATGGAGTATACTACTTTTTTGAAAAAAGCTATCATTCATTTCGTGAGAGTTTTTAGTCATTGATTATTTAAAATAACTAACTTTTATGTATATCGAAAGACTAAAAACTCTAGAGTATTAGTATTACCCCGTTGGGAGCGTTTAGGGTCGGTTGTGTTTTGTGTTCTAGAGTATTAGTATTACCCCGTTGGGGTCGGTTCTAGGCGGTCTTTTGACCTGTCCTCCCATTTTATTCGGTTGTTGGCTGTCTGTATTCAGCTGGTGGCTGTACTTTTGCACATTTGTGCCCATTTATATAATACATCTATCGTTTCGAAAAAAAAAAAAAAAGATATAAATAAATAATACCAAAAGAGAAGGGGAAAAGAGATACAAAAACTCTCACGGAATGAATGAGAAAAATTATGATTTTGTATTCAATTAATAGTAGTACAACACTCGTGTATTACACGTGTGTTGTTAAAAAATTATTCTTAAATTTTAATTAATGAGAAAAATTATTTTAAATTTTATTTACTTTTTTACAAAAGATATATATTATTATATATTTTAGAATTACAGTTGTTACTTGTGTGACTTACATGTGTTATAATATAGTAATTTTTATAACTTATATCATTTAACTACTTGAAATATAAATATATTAATTGACAAATAATTTTATTTTTCTAATGAATATTAAAAAATATTTTTATTATTGTTATAAAGATAAATATAATTTATTTTTTTTATACGTACAATATTGATGTTAAATCGAAGCTCATTAAGAGATGATTAATTTGATACATTATATATGTAAAACTGATGAAAAATACAAAAGTTATTAATTTTTAAAATATATTTACAATTCAATGGTCATAATAAGAAATGATATTAAAATGCAATTAATACATGCAACATGACCATAAATAATCAACATATTTATGGATAATATGCACCTAATTATTTTTGGTTCAGAAGTAAATTAAAATTTACCCAAGCCTAATAACGAAGCATGTAATTTTTCCACATAGGATCCCGAAGCATGCGAGTCTGCCACTTAGGCTCAGCACATTATGAATTAATATATATAAGAGGGATGTGTTAGAAACTTAGAATAATACTATGAGGAAAAAAAAATTGCCAACCTAAACTTTAGGGCCTTTATGTGTTTGCAACCTAAACTTTTATTTTTGATAAATTTTGCAACCCCAACTATACGTAATTGATAAGTATCAACCTCAGCCACTGAAATTGGCCGCAAAACTCCTTAAGCGGCAGAGCTGACAGCTTTTGTAAGGGTATATTTGTAATTTTATCTCATATCATTCTATAAATATATCATTCTCCCCAATTTCTTCAGTCTACACTTCAAATTTCCAAATTTCGTAACCTTAACCCTTATTTGAGCAAATGTAGTGGAGGCAGACAGCTGAGCATATCGTGGAAAGATTTTGCCGTTGCGGAAAAAATGTGGTGACGAGGACGTCGTGTACTGACCTTAATCCTGGAAGAAGATATGTTTCTTGTGCAAAATACTGGGTGTGTTCTTCAATTTTGAAAACCTAATTTTCAGTTTAAATGTGACATTCTGATATGAAGTTTTGTTGAACATGCTTAAATGTGGCATTTTGATATGCAAGAGGAGGAGGGTTGTATGTATTTCGCATGGACTGAAAAACCAATGTGTCAGAGGGCTTACCAAATTATTCTAGGGCTGCTATGGCGAGCAAATAAATTCGAAGATGAGATCAAATGTTCCAAGATGATCTTGCTAACCCTGAAATATAGCAGATAAAACTATTAGCAAATGTTGAAAAACTTGAGGAAAATATGAAGGTTAGGAGATTTAGGGAGCAATGCTTGTTTTTTATTCTTTTTATTTCAAGGATTGTAATTTATTGTTTAATGTAGTGATTGCAACACTATGATCAATGCAATGAATTGTGATTAGTTGGATGTTCAGAAACATTGTGTTTAATGTAATAAATTGTGCTTGGATATGCAATGTAATGTGGAGTGAATTCTGTGTAGAATCATTGTGTTTAATGTAATAAATTGTGCTTGGATATGCAATGTAATGTGGAATGAATTCTGTGTCTAGAATCATTGTGTTCAATGTAATGATTTATGGTTGGATATGCAATGTGGAGTGAATTCTTGGTTAGAATCACTATGTTCCATGTAATGAATTGTGCTTGGATGATTTTCTTCTTGTTCAATATGTATGTAATGTGGAGTGAATAATTCGATTACAATAACTGTTCCTAAGACTAACAAAATACATATGCAAGACTTCAATTCTTGGTTTAGAATTGTGAGCCGGCTACAAGTCCAATGTCTGATAAGCATCAAGTCAAATGAAAACCAAAAAAAAAAGCAAGAAAAAATATAAGAAACTGTTGACAACTGCAGCGAGAAGTACAAACATAACAGATCCTGTTCCGGGGAGAGTCCCGGCGAGAAAGTCAGCATCACAGTGTGACAGATGCGCCAAAAGGTAGGACCGACTACACAAATCTAAATGAAGGGTATCACATCCGGTCCATCCGTATGAGGGTGCAGAGGCATGGGGGAATATCGTCAGGGTAAAGAATGCATCTCTGGGGGGTTGAGGACCCGATGCCAGTGAGGCAGCTGGCCGATTCCCCTCGCGGAAGATGTGCGAGATCCGAGAGCGAATCGACTGAAGAGTGGCTCTGAAATGCATGAGAGTGTGTTGGATCTGCCACGTGCCCTGATGGCCAGATGACAAAAGAGTGATGACAGCTGCAGCGTCCAACTCTATCCAAATGTGAGAGGAGATCGAAGCGGCAATCTGAAGACCGATCTGAAGCGCCTGAACCTCCGCATCATAGCTCGAAGAGGCCCGAAGAGGGGCATGAAACGCGACAATAAGGGCGCCGCTATGATCGCTAATCAGGCCCCCACCTCCTGCAACCCCAGTAAGTCAATCAAAAGCTCCATCATTGTTTGGCTTAACCCAAGGTGACTCGGGTTTCAGCCAAACAACAGCTCTGGGAAGTGGATGCTGGACAGGCACCAACGGAGGTGGCGCAAGACGGTGAGGTGGCGTACAGCCTGTCCAGTCTCTTTGGGTGAGTCTGCCCAAAGCAGTGAGGAGGGAGAGATGTCGGTCAACCTACAAAATAATATGAGAACACAAAAAAAGGTCATCCCTATGCCTCGCATTATTCCTTTCTGTCCAGGTGGCCTCAAGGATCAGACAAGGAATAAGGAAGCTCACGTGTCTAATGTGTATGCGGGTGTCTGAAAAAACTCAGAAGCTCAAAGAAAGTATCTGTGGAGGGTAAGGGGATATGAGTATAACTGGTATAATGCTCCCATACTCTCCTCACAGTCTCGCTCTCTAAAAATAGATGGATAAAGGTCTCCGTCTGAAAATCACCGGTCTCAGCACAACAGTAGCAACGCGAGGGGAAGGAGAACACCCTCGTCTGCATCACAGTGTCAATCGGTAGGCGACGCAAAAGAAGGCGCCAAAGGAAAACAGAGATGATAGGGGTAAGTAGGTCAGTCCAGATGGCCTCGAAGAGAAGGTTAGGCCGGTCATCCAGCTGTACTTCCCCCCAAGCCGAGGTCGTAGAGAATGCACCTGAAGATGTAAGTCTCCACATCATACCGTCTAAACCGTCCTCCAAGATGGGAATCTGCTGGATCTCATCTATCACCTGATCACTAAGGCCCACTCTAGTACCCAAAATCCTCTCCAGCCTATCCCTATCCCATCTCCCCTCCGTCCACAAGTCCTTCACCTGTAAAAAGGAAAGGTGGGTAACCTGTCTAGAGCTCGAAAGGGGATCATCACCAAACCACTACTCATCCCAAAAACTAACGTCCCCCTCACCCAGAGTCCAAAATATGTGCTTAGAGCTAATCTACCAACCATGGTGAGCCGCTTCCATTGTCTGCTATCGCGGGAGGTGGTCGTCACCCTATAGGGATGGGCAGCGCCTCCAGGACAGTACTTCCGATGAAGATACTGGGCCCAGAGTGACTTACCTTCCCTAAAGCGCCACCACATCTTATACGAAAATGCAGTGACGACATCCGAAAAGCGACGGATCCCAAGACCCCCATTAGAGAAGGGGCGACAAACCGAGTTCCACCTCATCCAGTGGACCTGTCTTCCTCTCTGGGAGCCTCCCCATGCCCCCAAAAATAACGAGCCAGTATCTGATCTAACGCATGAAGAGTAGACTGGTGGGGGTCAAAGACCGTAAGAAGATAGAGTGGAAGGGTGCTGAGGGTGCTCTGATCAGAGCAAGTTGACCTCCAAAGGAGAGATGTTTGTGAGACCAACCGGAGATCTGGTCAATCATCCTCTGCCTGACGCCAGTAAAGAGCTCATGGGAGAGGTGGCCCTTGTACAGGGGACACCAAGATAAGTAATGGGGAGGTGCCCCCGCGCAAAACCAGTGCATTCGTGCACCCAATGGGCCCACTGGTCTGCAATGTGATGATCAAGGGTGAAAGTGTTCTTTTGCACACTGACCAGCTGACCAGAGACCAAGCTATAGTGCCCCAAGAGGCGCATGAGCTCAGCCAATCCATTATTATCCGCACGAGTGAAGATAATAGTGTCATCCGCATAAGAGAGATGCAAAACGGAAGGACCATAGCCGCGCGTGCTATAGGTCATCCTCGGGAAGTCACGGATGAAGCCGTCAAGGCAACGAGACAAAAATTGTGAGAACTTGTTCAATATGTATGTAATGTGGAGCGAATTATTCGATTACAATAAATGTTACTAAAACTAACAAAATACATATGCAAGACTTCATTTCTTGGTTTAGAATTGTAAGAACATGCATACAAGACCAAAAAAATGAATAAAAATAATAACCTACAAAATAGAAGACCTCAAATGCCATGACCAAACTATATGGAGTAAGCTTAGTAGGTTGGTTTACTCATAAAAAATTACCTAAAAATTTAAGTCACTTTATGCATTCCATCAAACACAGAGTACATGTTCCACACAACCAACATTACACAGAGTACATGTTCATAGCAAAACATGCCATATGTTCATTGACTGCAATACATTCCATAAAAACTTCAATTTTTCCATTGACACAACAAAACATCAATATTCGTCCACAAGGAAGTTCATTACAAGTTTATCGCATACTTTTTACGCACTTCCTTAATTACTTTCACCTATCTATCATATATTTTATTGTATAATTAGATCATACTTGCTCAATTATCATTGTCTTTCTGTCACACAGTTCATCGTATAATTATTTCGCAGTAGCTCAATTAACTTCGTTTGTCTGTCGCATAGTTTATCTTATAATGAGATCGCACTTGCTCGATTATCATCACATGTTTTTCATATAGTTTATCTCATAATTATTTCGCATGTGCTCTAACTTCGCTTGCCTGTCACATAGTTTATCGAATAATTATTTCGCACTTTATCAATTATCTTCGTCAGTCTGTCGCATAGTTTATCGCATAATTTGTTTCACACTTATTGGGGTGAGAAAGGTAACTTATTAATTGATGATGTGAAAAACTTAGCATGTCTTCAGATAGAGATGAAAATAACTATTTTTCCTATATATAAGTTGAATGGACCGGTCCGCCAAATATTACAGTGTGTTCTATAATACGTAATTTCTTGAACTCAATCTACTACTGGTTATTGAACTTGGCCACCGATATATATATGGTTCAAGTGAGGATACATTTTTAAAATGAGCATCTGAGATTCAAGCCTAACCACTAGATAATTATCAATATGTGTGGCCAAGATTTAACTCTTTATTTGAATATAATTATTTATATTTATTATTTTAGTGATTTAAATATTATTATGACCTTTAACCATTGTTCGTTGACTCCGGCGTTGCCGTTAACATCTGTCGTTGACTGTTGATTTCCGGTGTTGACTTCTAGCAAGATCCGTTGACTTTCAGCATTGAGTAAATATGCATTCAACTCTATGCACTTAATATTAACTAAATATAAATTTGGTATGAACTCCATATGCAGTCCTTATGAACTAAATTAGCACCAATAATATCAACTAAGTATGCATTTTTTATGAACTAAATATGCATTTTGTGTTGGTATCTGTGAGGATCTCGTTATGTACAAGTCACGAATTCAATAATAAACGTAAACCTATGCGCAGCAGATCTAAAGGTTTGATGTAGAAAACTTACGGCTTAAAATTTTCAGAATCTGTCGGATTCGGGATGACCGGGAACAGCACACGAACGTAACTGGATCACACGAACAAGATGACGGGATCGGGTCGCGTGAATCGGCCAAGTCGTGTCGCTGCGGGTGGCCGGTCATGTCAATCGGCTCATCGCGGCTTGCCAGGCGGTTCCAGCTGGCAGCGATCGGCTCGGTTGGTCGGCGGTCCTCGGCTTCGGGTCGTGGATCGTCAATTGTTGTGGAAGATCACTGGGTCTCAATTATCTATGGATCTTTTACTGTATTACTCAAACACCTTCTTCAACTTGTACCAGTGGAGCAACAAGAAGAAGGCGAAGCTCGAATGAGAGCTGAGAGAGAGAGAGAGAGAGAGAGAGAGAGAGAGAGAGAGAGACGAGACGAGACGAGACGAGAGGCGCCATGTATTTCACGTGAATGTTGTCTTCTCATGAGCTTAATGATGTATATATAGAGTTACAGTAGGGACCCTTAGGAGATTAAGAATAAGGCTCTTTAATTAATTAGACTAACTGTGGGCCAAACCCACCCTTCTAATTAATTAAATAATATTATGGATCACCAACATAATATTATTGCACTTCATTTCCTAGCCCAAATTACATTTGAGACTCCAATTATAATTATTCAATTTACCTCCCCACGTTTAAGATATAATGTCCATTAATTAATTCGATTACTGGCAATCAAGATTAATTAATTAATTATTATTTCACCGAAGCTAGCTCTCGTTCATCACATTATTATTATGCCGGAACTTAATCCACATGCAGGGTTTAGCATAACAATCCCTCATGAACTCACTCTGGGGACATCATCAATTAACGCACATGGTGACCGTAAATATCCTAACAGCACATCATACATACAACAATATTACCTAACACAATAGGAATATTAATCCAGCGAACTGAACCTCACCCAAGTGAATCAAAGTAATATGTACTACATATATATGCCTGTTTAATATCTTACGGGTTAAGAGTACACATTAATTAACCGAGGCCTAGTTCGTTTACGACGATCAATATAAAACGAACTTCTACTCTCTGGGATCCTGTTCAATACATAAATGTACTAGTGCAACTAATCAATCAAGACCAACTGTACAGTTGACACTACAACCGTTCGGATGGGTGTTCATTTCCATCTAGGTTGTGAACCACAATTCTTTCGCAAGTAACTGATAGAATGATCTTATGTTCACCCGATGACGACCCATTCTATCTAAGTGCAAAACAACATAACATAGAACTTAGATGGAGAATCGTGTTAGATTAAACAAGTTCAACGTTCTGTTGGCTTGGCATATTATTACACATTTGCCATTTATGAATTAGAATCATGTTAGATTAAGCAAGTTCAACATTCTGTTGTTCTGCACTTAGATGGAGTGGGTCGTCATCGGGCGAACCGAAGATCACCCTCATCAGTTACTTGTGAACAAGAATAGTTGTTCACAACCTAGATGGACATGAACACCCCATACGAACGGTTGTAGTGTCAACTGTACAGTTTGTCTTGACTGATTAGTTGCACTAGTACATTTATGTATTGAACAAGATCCCAGAGAGGAGAAGTTCATTTTATACTGATCATCGTAAATGAACTAGGCCTCGGTTAATTACTGCGTTCTCTTAACCCGTAAGATATTAAACAGGCATATATATATATATATATAATATATTACTTTGATTCACATGGGTGAGGTTCAGTTCGCTTGATTAATATTCCTACTGTTTTGGGTAATATTATTATATATATGATGTGTTGTTAGGATATTTACGGTCATCATGTGCGTTAGTTTGATGATGTCCCCAGAGTGAGTTCATGAAGGATTGTTATGCTAAACCCTGCAGGTGGATTAAATTCCGACATAATAAGAATGTGATGAACAACCGCTAGCTTCGGTGTAATAATAATAAATTAATTAATTCTTGATTGTCAGTAATCAAATTAATTAATGGACATTATATCTTACACGTAGGAAGGTAAATCGAGTAATTATTATTGGAGTCTCAAATGTAATTTGGGCTAGGAAAAGGGAGTGCAATAATATAATGTCGGTGGTCCATTAATATTATTTAATTAATTAGAGGAGTGGGCTTGGCCCAGTCTAATTAATTAAGGAGCCCTTTTCATAATCTCCTAAGGGTCCCTATTGTAGCTCTATATATACATCATTAAGCTCATGAGAAGAGGATAGATCTGTCATATACAAACACACGCCCCACACCTTTCTCTCTCTAGATCTCATTCGAGATTTATCTTCTTCATGTTGCTCCACTGATACAAGTTGAAGAAGGGTGTATTGAGTAATACAGTAGAAGATCTGTAGGTAAACCGAGACGAAATATATTTTGTCCTACAGAACTAACCAGAGGTCCGATTGAGACGCACAACATACCCAGACGACCGACTTGACGAGAGCTTCCATCGCCGTCGCGATCGCCTCCATCAGACCATGCACGCGCCCTCACGCGCCGCCGGAAGCTCCCAGGCTGCAAGTTTTGTTTTGATCTATTTGCATCCATTTGATCTGATCTTGTTCGTGCAACCCAAGACGTGATTTGCGGTCAATCAATTGCGGTCAACCATTCGTGGTCAATCAGATCTACATAAATTTTAAGCCGTAAGTTCTCTACGTCAAACCTTTAGACCCGCTGCACATAGGTTTACGTTTGCTATTGAATTCGTGACTTGTACATAACGACATCCTCACAGATTCCAACACGGAATCGGTAAACCATTAATAAGTAATTTATGTGCGATAAACTAGGTAAAAGGATATGATTTTATATAAATGGACTTTTATTACTTAATTACGAGGTCGGCTTTTTAATTAAGGTCAGCACTTTGGTTACACTTGGAATATTTACGAGAATGTATCTATATTGAGATGAATAAATGTAGAGAGAGAAATAGTTGGTGAGAAAATCAACAACCCCCAATAAATGAGGGCGAAATTCTATTTATAGTAGCCTTAATCTTGTACTTTTCATGCACTGTTCATCATGTCTCGTCACACAGTGATCTGGAATGACTGGTCGGCCCCGCTCTGACAGACATGAAATGAAGTCTGAGGTTTTCCCAATTATTACCTGCCAGGCATTAAATGCCCCATATGTGTGCATTTAATGTCTGGCAGGCCGCCCTACCAGCCTAGATGCTCTAGGGTGGCTGATTAGGATATTATGTCCCATCAGCAATCATCACTTGACAAGTGACAGTATTTTTATCATTTCCGGTCCCATGTGCTTGTAGGTGTCGATCCCGTCGAATCTTCAGGTCAGACCCTCATCGTCATTACAGTCTCTTGGTCTTCGAGGTTCTTCTTTTCTAATCGGCGCTCGCGGAGTCGACGTCGCCGCTTGGCCAATCGAAGTGCCATTCTCAAAAGTCGTCCTACACATCATTCTCGTTGACTTTATTCTTTTGCCAGCTCGACCCCTCGGGATATCCCGAATACCGGTCTGGTTCTGGAGGTCGGCATTGACCGGTTCACTACCCTTTGTTCGAGGATTCTTCTAGACTCAACTCGGATATCAATAAAAAGCTTTATCAATTTTAAAATAATATTATTTATTGACATTATTCGAATACTAAATGGTTACACACCATAAAAATAATATAAAATAATATTTTACCTTATTTTATGAACCACGCATGATATATCTCCCCACACTAGTTTTCACGGCTCTTCACATTAGCATAAAAAATTAAATACATAAAGAGAAAAAAAAACAGTTGCTTAGTAACAATTGAAATTAAAAGAAACATTAAATTTTGGTGTGTGAAATTTTGATTATAAATACACAGCCACCCCCACGCTCTGAAGCACACGGTTTGAGGTACAAAAACAACTCCTCGTCTCTCTCATTTCTCGCTCTCCGATTTTAATTTCCCCATAATATCCCTCCTCCATCTCCCCCTCTCTCATCTCCACATTTTCAAACCAAACCCCAAATGGAAGAAGCTCTGAGAAGGCTCAACGGCACCCTCAGCCGCGACTCCGATTCCCAGCCCCCCGCCACCAAGCGCCGCGCCGCCTCCTCCTCCGCCTCCCAACCTCCCGCCACGCGCTACCGCGGCGTCCGTCGCCGCCCCTGGGGCCGATACGCAGCTGAGATCCGCGACCCCCAGTCGAAGGAACGTCGGTGGCTGGGGACCTTCGACACGGCGGAGGAGGCCGCCTGCGCCTACGACTGCGCCGCCCGCGCCATGCGCGGCGTGAAGGCGCGGACCAATTTCGTGTACCCCAAGCCGCCTTCTCAGCCGCCCAACATCGGCTTGAGGAATACGAACACCTATGCCCTCAACTCAAAACTATATCCCCAATCCACTGACCTAATTACCCCTAACGCCTCATTTTCTCTTCAGCCTTACCATTTCCCAAAACTCTCCTGCAACACGACCTTATTAGCTCCGACCACCGTATTTTCGGCTACTCCAAACTATTTGTCTAAGTTTCAAGATAACAACAATTCCGAGCCGCTGGATTTTTTCAAGTCGGAGAAGTCGGGTTCGGGCTTGTTGGAGGAAGTTCTGAAAGGTTTCTTCCCCAAACCTCAAGCGGCGGATGGGAAAATGACAAATCAAGCCAAGAGGAAACACGCTTATGATAACGAGTTTTATAATTATTCGAGCAGCAGCAATTTGTATAGTAATGTTAGTGAAGGGCCTCAGTTGAACACTACTCCATCGAGTGGAATGGTGGGAGATATTGTTCATTATCAGGAAGCCCTTAATCTGTTTGCGGCTAAACTAGGTTGACTTCATTATCCATCTTTTGTTGCAGAGAAATTTGGATCACTACTAATTTGCACTTCATCATGTACCCAATCACCGCAGTTTCAGCGCAATTGCTTGTAATAATATTCCAGATTAATTAATTAATTAATCTACTTGGATTTATATAACTTGCTTAAGAATATTATTAATTAATTATTAATTAATGCTTTAAATCCTTTATTCTTTGCAACTCTGGTTTTTGCATAAAGTTCCTGACATGGTGTTGTTGTTGTGGGTGCAACTTCTGCGGGTTTTGATTCTGGGGAAGATTTGGTTACTTCCTCTCTCTCTCCTCTCACTCTCACTCTCAGTCTCTTTATATATATATATATATATGGTATAGACAGATAAAATAAAAAGTTAGTTCCTACTTTTCATGCTTTGCCCTTTTTGAGGGTTTCTTCTTGAGTTGACCTTCGATTTGCATGAAAAAGAAATTTGGATGGCAGCTGCTTTTTGCCTGCAGCCTTTATGTGCCATGTTTTGATGGCTCATTGTCGTCCTTACTTTCCAATTTCTATTACTTCTTTAGTAATTATTATTTATAATTAATAATTGTGACAGGCAACTGAAAATGTATTTCATTTTCCTTTATAAATTGTTCACTTAGGTTTACTATTTGTTCAAAAATTGTGAGATGAACTTTGGATGGGACGAAATTTTAATATAAATGTATAAATCGATGTGAAATTGTGTTTGTAAATGGTTTTGCAGGTTTTATTAATTATTATGAATACAGATTTTCCTTTGCAAGCCATGCATCCCCAGACTTTGGTTTCTCTGTACCTTTTTCTTTAATGTTTGAGCGGATAATGTTGTCGGGCTAATTATTTAAGTGCTCCATGTAATTATGTATTTCAATAAAAGAAGTTTTCGCACTTACTACTGCATTGTATGCACCAATATATGTATCTAGCTTCATTATAAAACCTACTCTACTTATGGACGCGTCAGCTCTCTTTTATGTATGTTATGTTCCTTTCTAGAACCAAGATACGAAGTAATAAAAAATAAAATAAAATAAAATAAAGAGACTTTGGTAGGGAGAACATTAAATAGAGCCGGTTATCGGTTTAAATATCTATATGAATAGAGTATTTTTGTTTTCAAATGTTTCAAGTTGTTTACAGTGTTTGGATATTGACTTTGTGGCTTGATGCTTAAACGTAATACTGATCCAGACAAAATCAGATCAAGATCTCACTAAAACACAAAATTATCTGGTTTATGCTACAATCACTACAAAAAAATTATTCTATTCCAACGAAAAATCCTATGATAATATATTTCAATGGAAATTCCAACGGATATTCCAATGACATAGCTTCCATTGGAATCATTCCAACGGAAATTCCAACGAAAATATTCCGTTCGAATATGTTTTCCATTGGAATTTTAGATGGAATTTGATGATTGCAAAGGATATATTTCCAACGGCTTTTTACCGTAGGAATTTCTGTTGGAATATGCAATTTCCGTTGGAATTTTTATTTCCACCCCCGTTGGAAAATCTACCATTGGAATCGTCAAAATCCAACGGAAATTCCAATGGAAAACTCATTCCAATGGAATATTTTTGTTGGAATTTCCGTTGGAATCCACTGAAAAATTTCCAACAGAAATAATAGTATTAAAATATCCATTGAAATTGCCGTTAGAATTCTATTGAAATAAATTTTCGTTGAAATTTCACCATTTTCTTGTAATGAATCTTTCAGATATAAAGGTGTTGACGTTCGTGCGTCAACCACAATAATTGGGCAGATCAATTGCGAGATAACAAGGATTTACATAACGATTTGTCACTATAATATGGTGATTAAGTAAATTAACGGTTCACGAGAGAAACTGAAAGCATGAAAGCGAAATTAAACGATACAAGGACTTTCCTATTCTCGTGGGTTGAATTTATACACAAAAAATTTTAGAAGATAATCATGGCAACTAAGGGCGTAGGAGAGTGACACGCGTACTCATGCAAAACTTTATTTTGATGATGGAATCGGTTGAGCGGTCGCTGTAACAGCTTGCTTTATCAAGTTCATTCATACTGCAGAGAGATCGACCATCTTCTAGGAGAAGGAATATCGAAAGATCGACGCCCAGTGCAGATGTGGATTGACACGGTCTTGGCGTTTGAATTTCTTGAGCTATTCGTTCCATATACTAGGCCCACTTCTTGACCGACGTGGAGGCTATTTTTATGTATACCAAATTGACAATTGAATTACTCAAGAAATTGAAATCTTAAAAATCACTCATCACATTGGTGAACGAAGAAATTTCTTCTTGGAAGCACTAATGCGCATATGGAAAATTCACTTTTATACTTTGAAAAAAAAAAAATAAAAAAAACTAGTTATACACTTCACTCGCTTAATATTACAAAATCTTATCAAGTCCTATCCTTATGACCTAGGGCAATTTGAGCTCGGGTTATCACCGTTTTCACATGTTCCTACCTTACAACTCGTTTTGATAATTAGCTAGCATTATGAGAGATGGACCATTTTTATTTAATTAAGACTAGGGTCATTAATAACCATACTCACATTGGTTGCAATTAAGTGATATAAATTCTTGTGTTCGGTGGCAAAATCGCTAGACAGGTCGACTCATTGTACTATATAACATAAATGAATATTTATACTATCAAATGTCATAGTTTGTCATACTTATGTTTAGGATGTTATTAAAAGTATGACATTTTCATAGAAAGTATGTATATTTGTGAAGAGTATGTCGGCCTAATGGTTAGTTTGCCTAACACAAATTAAAACTATTGATTAAGTAGTGCAAAAGACTTATTTTCTTCACTACAAATTCTTGAGTGTGGCAGCTTGACTTTTAGGGGGATCGATACATCATACTTTTAAAAAAAAAACAAAAAACAAAAATGCATACCTATATGAGAAAATATCATACTTTTGCTTGTGTTGTTTTTCAGGGTATGATATTTTGATTTCAAAGTAAGAATATTAGATAAAAATTTATGGAATCATAACCGATAGACATCCTTAACACAACTTTACTATTATAGTCCATCTTTTATTAGGTTGTTTTAAGATTAGATAATCATATTTTTTCAATAAAGTACACACTTTCACTTTAAAGTTCCGTACTTTAAAATTACAATATAACAAAGACTTATAAGGTACAAGCATGTATTATTTTTTTTTGGTTTGAGAAAGTATTAATAGTGCAACGATAAGATAACCTAACAACAAATTTTAGTCTTTTGCTTTCTTTATTTGCTGTTCTATATTCCATTTTCTGTTAAATCTTAGTTAATTAGTTCGGGCTTAGTAGCCCATAAGTAACTTATTACTCTATTTATTTTAATACCTATATTTTTATAAGAAAAAATGAGTTTTACTTTTTTTATAATACACAATTACTTATTTTAGTCTAAAATTTATCGTAACATTAAATTTTGTAATTTTACAAAATTATGTATACTTATTTAATAATAAGTGGTGTGTATATGTATGTCTATTTAGTCGAAAGTCTACTACAGTTAGAATTAGGTTAGTATATTTCTTGCAGCCGGTTTAAATTTTAATTTTTCTTTTGTCGGAATTTGTCAATCCAAAATCTGCTAAAACTATGTAAAATTAGTTAGGACTAACCAATTAAATATATTTATTTGATGGTAAGTGTTGATATCAAGATAGATTATCTTGATGTTATGATTCAATTAAAGGAATCGCGAAGATTAATACATAAACTGGATTCTGGACGACGTCAAGCAATACATGTTGCATCTCGGTAATCTCACCTCGGTGCCCGTAAATGATACCGCAGAATTTTCGGAAGTCATCAACACAAGTCGTCTGAATCTTGAAAAAGGCCAATTCGGTCAAAAAGTTATCTATCAAGAAGTCGTAGAATATTGAAGGTTTATCAAAATACCGACTTCGCAAGACGAACCGAACTCATTCCGACAGATGTGACACTCGTCACATAGATAGAGGCGCGCCCATGCTAATCATTGCCTAAAAAAGTTCTCCTACGTCATCGCCGCCCCTAAAACGTCAAATCTTCATTAAAACGGGAATGATTTGTCTAGGGATGTGTGCCAGACATACCTATAAATAGCAGTTCCAAAAACGAGAGAAGGGTTCGAAAAAAGATCATACACACTCATACATTCAACTCGGCAATCTTATTGTAAACCGACTTGAAGTACATTGATAAACCAACCTCTCTGTATTAAAACCGACTTCAAAATATTCAATAAAAATCTCATTTTCTGCAATCTTTTGTGTTCATATTACATTGTTAACGTTGATTAAATCCGTTTATCAACATTTTGGCGCTAGAAGAAGGGCTCCATAAGATATTTGGAGTTAATTTTCGGAATATACACACCACATCTCATAAAATCGAGAATGTCACAGTCCGGACAAGATAATCCAACAACCATGGGAAGCGCCGTTCGTGTTGTTGAACCACCAACCGGTCAACATAATCCAGTACCTGTGATGCCGGACATTACCCTGCTCATGCAGAACCCTGAATTCGCTCGTGGACTCACTGCTTTGGTGGCCCAAACCATGCTGGGGCCATCACACAGAGCACCAGGACAACCTTTTGCTCCTATAACTCCGGCGAGACAACAAGGTCCTCCCCTACCAAGGGATAACAATGATCAAGCGGCGTCCCATGCCACTTCACAACCACGCAATCCGCCCCCTCCGCCAGTGAACAACGTACTGCCGGCGGAAATGAACCAACCGGAAATGAATCAACCAGAAATGGTTGCGGAAAGTAACCCTCGGCATGCTGAAAGTTACCCCCAGCATGTGCCCAGAATTCCCCACGCGGCACGTTCTTTATTTCGACAAAACGAAAATCCGGCTGACCTGAGAACGCAGATTGAGCGTAATCGTTGCGCTCGACGTAATGCTTTCGAGGTCGAGGCGTTAAGGAGAAAGGTGGCAGAGTTGGAAGCCCGACAAGCTACTCAAATCAGGCCTCAT